CGAGGTACAAGTTTGTGAGTCGACCCACCTCCATCAGGCCATGGGAAACTTATGCACAGTGTTCACCAGAGCGACGACTTCATCTCGAGAGAGGGCCGAGGGCAGCAGAGACACGTCCGGGGTGAGCAGGACCTTCAAGGCTGTACCCAAGCCCAGCAGAGTGACCTTCGAGTGTAGGCGACAACGACGGCATCGGACACAGTTGGTCAAAGCAGTGATATTCTGGAAGACCGACTTGAACTGCTCCGCTAGCTGGCGTCTATCCGCCCTGTCCACTGGGAAGAGACTGTCCTCATCGAAGCCCTGGAAAACAGGCGTACAGAGCTTCATCTCAGAGGCGTCCAGCAGATGCTTCATCAGCATTTGAGTATTCTCGTCATCGACCGGTTCACCAGTGGAGTACTCCCAATTGTAGAGGACAGGTTTGGCCTTGTGCAGGGCCCTCAAGGTGACCAAATAAGCAAAGTTGAGGTTCTTCAGCCACTCTGGATGCTTGCCCACTGTAGCCATAAACTTCTCGTTATTCGGCTTCCACGCAACTTCCCCCTTTTTGGGTGGATAGTAGTTGGCCAAGACCTGTATAGTGACAGCCTCGTGCATGCCCGAGAGCAGTCGTTGCAGTACACGCTCCTCATAACAGTAGCCATCAGTGCCTAAGCCTCGACCTATGCTCACACAGTTCTCGGCATCGACGGCCTCCCATATGTGAGAACCATTATAGCCAGTATTGTGCTCGGGGTTCAACAGTAGGTTAACGTAGTCAAGCTTGTCGCTGGCCCTAGGGGGACGACAAATATCGAACCAGAAGTCCGGCTTGATACTCTCGTCATCATCTAGGTCATCCAAGTCGTCCTCAAATTCGTCCTCGATCACATTGGACTCAGATTCACTGATGAAGGGGTTAACCTCATTGCCGCTGGGTTCAATACTACACAGTGAAGGACCACCAGAAGCTGCAGGGCTCAGCGAGGTGTCAAACCCGAAAGCAGCTCCAGCGCCTCCCGGAGGGGTCGACCCACACATAACTTCGTCTTTGTTGGCGTCTCCCCAAGTGAAGGCGCAGTCTTCATCCATAGCTACCCGGACCAAACGGAAGTACGTAGTGTTAGCCAACTCCTCGAGTATGGAATGGAGCTGTGCCGAGTTGGCCCGCTGCACTGCCTCAACCTCACACTTGGTACCGTCAACCTG